GAGATAACTTTAAACTCTGACTGCCAGTGAGCTGGGTGGAACAGAGCCATATTTCTCTTCTTTCAAAAGCAAATAGGAAAAATATCGCTGAATTCTTTTTCTCAGCAAGGAACATCTCTGAGAAAGAGAATGCGCCCCTGAGGGGAGGCCTCTAAAATGGCTGCTTTGGGGGTAGCTGTCTTTTACTGTCGAAGGCAAAGGGATGAAATAAGCCCCGCTCTTCTGTAGCACTCCCAGGCTTATTAGGACGAGGAAATTCCCACCTAATAAATTTTGGTCAGACCGGTTGTCTGCTCTCAAACCCTGTCTCCTGATAAGATGTTATCAATGACAATGCATGCCTGAAACTTCATTAACAATTTTATGTTTGCCCTGTCCTGTGGTCCTGTGATCTCGTGCTGCCTCCATTTGCTTTGTGATACTTTATTACCTTGTGAAGCATGTGATCTCTGTGACCCACACCCTATTCGCACACTCCCTCCCCCTTTGAAAATCGCTAATAAAAACTTACTGGTTTTATGGCTCAGAGAGCATCACGGAACCTGCTGACATGTGATGTCTCCCCCTGACACCCAGCTTTAAAATTTCTCTTTTGTACTCTTTCCCTTTTTTTCTCAGACCAGCCAGCGCTTAGGGAAGTAGAAAAGAACCCACATTGAATATCGGGGGTGGGGTTTCTCCTGATACTAGTATGTTGTATCTTTGCTCTCATTCATTTCAAATAACTTCTTGATGTCTACCTTAACTTCATTATTTACCCAAAGTTATTCCACAACAGGCTTAATTTCAATGTGATTGCATGGTTTGCACATTGAAAAAGAAATCTTGAATTCTATTTTTATTGCCTCATTGTCTGGGAGAGTGGTTGGTATGAGTTCAGTTCTTTTGCATTTATTGAGATTGTTTTATGTCCGATTGTGTGGTTGATTTTAGAGTACATGCCATGTGCAGATGAGCATTTGGTCCAGTGTTGTGTTCAGGTCCTTCATGTGTTTGTTAATTTTCTGCCTTGATGATCTGTCTAATACTGTCAGTGGGGTGTTAAAGTCTCCCACTATTATTTTGTGGGATTCTAAGTGTCTTTGAAGCTCTCTAAGATACCATGTTATAAATCTGAGTTCTTCTGTGTTGCATGAATATATATTTAGGATAGTAAGGTCTTCTTGTTAAATTGAACCCTTTACCACTATGTAATGCCCTTCTTTGTCTTTTTTGGTTGCTTCCATTCTCTCCATCTCTTTCAGTGATACCAATAAGTAATAAATCTGGTCTCTTTACATAATTCCATATTTCTTTGAAGTTTTGCCCGTTCCTTTTTATTCTTTTTTCTTTATTCTTGTCTGATTGTATTATTTTGGAAAGCCAGTCTTCAAGCTCTGAGATCCTTTTATCAGCTTGGTCTATTCTGCTTTTAATACTTGTGATTGCATTATGAAATTTTTGTAGAATGTTTTTCGGCTCCGTGAGGTGTGATTCATTCTTTTCTATACTGGCTATTTTGTCTCTCTGCTCATGTGTCATTTTATATTAATTATTTCATCCTTGAATTGGGTTGCAATGTTCTCCTGAATCTCAATGATCATTCTTATCCATATTCTGAATTCTTTTTCTGTCACTTCTGAAATCTCAGTCCAATTTAAAACCCTTGCTGGAGTACCAGTGTAGTAATTTGGAGAAAAGAAAACACTGGCTTTTTGAATTGTCAGAGTTATTGTGCAGGTTCCTTCTCATCTTTGTGGGCTAATGTTTCTTAAATCTTTGAAGTTTCTGTGCTGTGAATGGGCTATTTTTTTACTTTCATACTATTTGATGACCTTTAATTGTGATATAAGGTGGATTCAGTCAACCGGCTACATGACTGGAAGATTTTCGGGGGTCAAGGCTCAGCTCAGAACTCCTGCCTGGATTGCATGCTGTAACTCTGGTAGACTGGTATCGGGCCCCAGCTTTGATCTCTGGCTCCTCCAGGTTAGAAACCTGTTGTACTGGAGGGGCTGAGGTGCTACCAGACCACTGATCACAACACTCCAGTGTATGATGCCAGCCAAATCACTTCACAGGGCAGTGACAGTGGGATCTGTCCTTGTTCCCATGTACCAGCAGTAGCTGCTGCAGCAGCATTGCGGGGTGCACACTTATCCATTTGATACAGCAGGGTTATCATGTGTTGCTGGGGTGCTTAGACTCGATGTGGGTATTCGCAGCAGCAGTGGTGGCAGTATGGTTTGGTGGTGGTGAGGAGCCCCCACTGAGACTGTGTGCATATCCCTGGAGGTGGTGGTTTTAGCATGGAGGTGGGGCATTTGTGGGTTCAGGACTGCGTGTGCCCTCTGTGCATGTTTAAGCTGGCAGCAGTCTGCTCAAGGCTGCGGGCTAGTCCACTGTTTTCTATGTCTACTTTTGCTCTGGTGACCGAGGCTCAGGGGCAGGGTGCTGGCAGGGGTGGGGCTCGGGGGCTCTGTGCCTGCCGATGTTCTGAAGTGGTGTGCTAGGGTGGGGATGGTGGGGGGGTGCACTCACGGCAGCAGCAGTGGCAAGGCAGGGCGCAGGTATACCAGTACCAGTGTGCTGGTGGAGAACGGAAGGATAGATCTGCTTGGGCATACACGCACTGGCATAGCGATGTGGAAGGTGGCCATGTTTGTGAACGACCTGTTGTGTGTCTGCAAAGGCCACTCTGCTGGAACACTCTGCCAGTCAGGCGTGATGCACCATCTGTGATGTGGGCCCCAGGGGGCACCTGGCAGCTGTATTGCAAGCAGCTGTGGCCAGGCTGGGGCCCTGAAAGATGCCAGAGGTGCTCAGGTTGGACCGGTACTGTCTCATGGGTAAGACTGCCCTGCAGAGTTCAGGTTCGAAAGTTCCCTTAGGGCTAAAGTCTCCTATGAGAACAAATCTAGCCTAGGGGGATGCACATCTCTGACAGTGCTCCACTACAGTTGCTCCCACAGGACACCCTCTGCGCTCTGCCCCCAGCTGGAGTTCTGCTCCTACCACTTCTCTAAGTAGCTTTCCCTGCCAACTCAAGTGTCCATGGTGGTCTAGGGTCTTCTCCTGCTGAGGTTCCCAAGGCCCACAGTAAGAGTGGGTTCATCCTTGCCTGTTAAACTCACCCCCTCTGTAGGAGTCACTGGGGGCCAGGAACACATTCCAGTGCACAGTAGCCCCAGGAAGGGTTCCTAGCTTCCTCCCCCTCCGGCCCAGCCTCTGTTTTTTCCCTCCATCTGTTCTGCCTCTGCCTGAAGCTACAGGATAAGAACATGGCAGCACTGGGATATGAACTCATTTTTGCCTAGCTCCAAAGGCCTTGCTCATTCATGCAGACTCTCAGAAATGAAAAATAATTCCCTTCATCTTCGTTAAATCACATGTTCCTACAGACAAATTATCCAAAGCTTTTATGAAACCTATGTGATGCTGTAATACAATCGATTACTACAGTATTTATGGAATATACCATTCATAGCTTTAGACACAATTATATATCAAGCTCTCTTGAATTCTCTCTCTTTCTAAAACCTATGGATTTGAAGCCAGGATATTTTGAGAAGACCAACTGGTGTTAAAAATCTAAATAGATCAAATATTGTTTCTGTTTATATCTGTGTGACAAGTAATACCAATGTGTGTAATTACAGCGTGGAGAAACCCACGTAATTTCTCTGAGGAAAGTTTATTTCACTGGAAGTAGTCATTGCCAATAAGCAATAGAAGCCCTAACCAGTGGCTCTTATTTTGCAATTACAATTTTTCATCTTAAATTTAGTATATGTGCAGCCAAAGCAAGCACCACAGTTTCATCTTAAGGAACAACTAAGATTGTGTGTGATATAGGTGACGGCTATCACCAGATAAACATCATCAAAAAGTTTTTTTTTAATAGTGTCTTTCTGTTGTGATATTTTTAGTACCTTTCTTCCTTTCCTACTCCCTCCTCCTCTTCCACAAATATATGTTGAGTATCAATTCTGTGATGCTTGAGGCATTAGGCACTCCAATAAGTAATCCTTTAAGTCTCACCAGAATTTGAGTTTGATGATATGGTGTCCATTGTGTAGATGAGGATACATCCTCTGTGAAGTGCGAGATCACATAACCAAATGTAGAAAAGTAGATCTGTCTCTTGCTGAAAGGAACTGAACATTGGATGCTCCTGCATGAAGCCCAAGGCTTCGTGGACAACCTCAGAAACCAGATAACTCTGAGCCATAAGGCATGATACTTCTCAGTTGAAGCTGCCTCCTATTCTGCACCTGTTTATAGCATTTGGTAATAGTCTTTTGTAGTGAATGTTTATGAACCTGGTGAATAGTTACATACATTCAATTGAGAGAGATGATAAAATGGCATAGCTCAAGTTTCACCTATGATTTTGATACATAGTTTTCAAACTTGTTTTGAGGGTTTGATGGAATCCTAAAGGGGAGGATAATAATTTTACTGTTAAAAAGTGTTAACGTTATTTTGGCTATAGACTCCAATTTTTATAACAAAATAATCGTCATAATTATTTCATTAGAATTTTCATATAAGAAGAGTTATATAATTATTATTTTACTCAGCACATTTTTTTTTTTTTTTTTTTGAGACAGGGTCTTGCTCTGTCACCCAGACTGCAGTGCAGTGGCATGAAGCCATCCTCCCACCTCAGCCCCCCAGGTAGCTGGGACTACACGTGCACGCCACCATGCCTGGCTAATTTTTGCACTTTGTAGAGACCAGGTTTCACCATGTTGCCCAGACTGCTCTTGAACTCCTGGGCTCAAGCGATCCACCCACCTGGGCCTCCCAAAGTGGGGACGGATTACAAGTGTGAGTCAACGCACCCAACCCCATTTCTCTTTCTAATATTAATTCTGCTTTTGTTTCTGGTTGTATGTATTTTTACAAATAATTGAAATGATGATGTAATATTCACAGTGCTTTAACAATGTGAGAAAAGTGTATGTGAATATTAATCACATAATTGATAAAATATATGAAATAATGAAGCCAAAGCAGGTCATCAAGTAATATTTATAAACATTAGGTATTGAATTTACAGATGTTGCCAAAGTTGTACATTCACGGGGCCAGTCATCATAAATTCTGACTGATGTTTAAAATGAGAGCAAGAAATACCCAATTAAGTAGTAAATTGCAAACCATCTAATCTTCTTTCGATGCATCTGTGACATCTTCTTTGTACTTGTAAACTTGCATTGCACGTTGCATAGGAGTCTTAACAGAGTCATAAGTCCATCCCTTCTTGGCAAACAGTCTTTCAAGGATGCCAGGCATTCTGTAGCCCTTGCTTAGAATGAAATCCTTAAAGGCAATTGGTCCATAAAGACCGTCAAGAATGTCGGGTTCATCAGGCTTTTCAAGTACGAGTTTGGGGTCAATCAAAGGTTCATCACTTCTTAGTTTTTTCCCCAACTTAGGCTTGAAGTACCATGGCCCATACCTCATCTTCACACCTTGTGCACTGTAAGAATTTGGTGCCGCCTGGAGTTTCCTGTCCCATTCTTTTATCTGCCTGAAGTCGATCTCATCCATGTCATCTAGCTCCGTGCTGTACTTCAGCTCTGAGGAACACTCGTTTGCCTTCTCAATGTTTTCGTCTTGACAGGTTGCTCGGCACTCCGGGGTAAAGTCAAACAGACTGCTGATGGATTCTGCATTAACTCCCAGGTTTCCTGCCCACTTGAAGTCACGGAGTTTTCTCGATATGAATCCACGTTCAAGAGAGTCAGAAATGCACTCCATTGTGCTTGGTGTATCTTCCTGAAACAGTTCTTTTAGATGGCACACTCCGGTCTTGGTAGGCTCCGGGCAGAGACTGGACGCTCGACGAGTCTTGCGAGGCTCTAGGCAGAAACTGGACATTCGACGAGTCTTGGGAAGCACCAGGCGGAGATGGGGCATACGACTCTCGAAAGGCCGCGGGCAGGATTTCCAAAAAAAGTATTTACTAGGCTTGGTTAGTTCCTCGGTTGTCGTCTCTCGGCCCTCACAACGAGCCTGTGCATCTTCCAACTTCCTGTCAGAGTCCAGTTTCAGCAACTGTAGTAGGAGACTGGACACCCGGCGAGTGTTGGGAGGTTCCGGGCAGAGATTAGACGCTCCAGTCTCGGGAGGCTCTGGGCGGAGACTAGACACCTGACTCTTGGGAGGCTCCGGACAGAGATGGGACCCTCCAGTCTCAGGAGGCTCCGGGCGGAGACTGGACACCAGAGTCTCGGGAGGCAGCGGGCAGAGATGAGACACTGCAGTCTCGGGAGGCTCCGGGCGGAGATGGGACGCTCCAGTCTTGGGAGGCTCCGGGTGGAGACTGGACACCGGAGTCTTGGGAGGCTCCGGGCAGAGACCTGACACCGGAGTCTTGGGAGGCTCTGGGCGGAGATGAGACGCTCCATTCTCGGGAGGCTCCGGGAGGAGAGGAGGTACGCGAGTCTTGGGAGGCTCTGGGCGGAGATGGGACGCTCCAGTCTTGGGAGGCTCCGGGCGGAGACTGGACACCCGAGTCTTGGGAGGGGGCTTCTGGGCGGAGATGGGACGCTCCAGTCTTGGGAGGCTCCGGGTGGAGACTGGACACCGGAGTCTTGGGAGGCTCCGGGCAGAGACCTGACACCGGAGTCTTGGGAGGCTCTGGGCGGAGATGAGACGCTCCATTCTCGGGAGGCTCCGGGAGGAGAGGAGGTACGCGAGTCTTGGGAGGCTCTGGGCGGAGATGGGACGCTCCAGTCTTGGGAGGCTCCGGGCGGAGACTGGACACCCGAGTCTTGGGAGGCTCTGGGCGGAGATGGGACGCTCCAGTCTTGGGAGGCTCCGGGCGGAGACTGGACACCCGAGTCTTGGGAGGTTCTGGGCGGAGATGGGACGCTCCAGTCTTGGGAGGCTCTGGGCGGAGACTGGACACCGGGGTCTTGGGAGGCCGCGGGCAGAATTCCCCACAGGGGTATTTACCAGGCTCGGTGGGTACCTCGGTTGTCTTCTCCCGGCCCTTACAAGCGCATGTGTCCTCCAGCTTCCTCTCAGGATCCAGCGGTTTCAGCACCCGTAGTAGATCTGGAGGCATATCTTCTCCCAGATTGGAGTTCATGGCCAAGGGAGGCTCGGCCGTCAGCTGGGCTTCCACTCCCTCTACGAACGCCTTCGTTGTTGGCTGGGCTGGTGAGAGCTCGGAAAATAGGGCCGCTTTCTTGCGCAGCTTTTTCTTCCTGCTTTTGGGGTCAGCTTGGGGACCTCTGAGAGATATTTTGGGGAGTAAAAACTCGTCACGGCGACAAACGAGCGTATCTTCGGGAGACCGACAGCCATAGCGGAAGTCGTCCACGCCCTCCGTCACAAATACCCGGTTCCGAGGGTCCATGGGCGGGAACCTCAGACGTCTGTGCTTGCGCTTCGCGAAGCACTTGGAAGGCTGTTTGTCACAGGACGAGGACTTGGAGTCCATGCCCGGGGGCCTCGGCCGGTCCAGCCGCCTCTGGTCCCCCATGGTGGCCCTCGCTGGGGTGCCACCTCTCCAGTTTCCGCGGCTACTGATCCCTGCCGCTCTAGTCGCTAGGAGACCGCCAGCCACTCGCAGCCCAGGTTCCTTCCTGGAGGCGGGGCAGCGCTGACGCCACCTGCGCAGCCCGGATTCTAACAGGTGTGTAGTGCAATCTCATTCTGGGTTTTATTTGTGTGTCCTAATGACTACTGGTATTGAACATCTCTATATTTGCTTATTTGCCATCCTTATCTCTCCTCGGTTGAAGTTTCTGTGGATTTTTTCCCCATTTTTAAATTGTGTTGCTGGATATCATATTTAGTTTTGAGAATACTTGCTGTGTTCTAGATGTAAATAGGTTATCAGATATATGATTTGCAATTTTTTTCACTTCGCCCTTGATTTTGCTCTTTCATTGTCTGTGTCAAAGAGAAGTTTTTTAATTTGATGAAGTCCAATGTATCAATTTGTTCTTTTAGGGATTGTGCTTCTTTTGATGTATCTATGCAAAACTTGGTCTATCCAAAGGTCACAAAGATTTTTTTGTCATTTAAGTGTTATAATTTTTGTAAACAGCACAAGATATAGATCCAAGTTTTTATTTTAAAAACGTACCTATTGCTTACCTATATCTAATAATTTCAGAACTATTTTTGTAAAGACAATCTTTTCTCCACTGAATTACATTTGGAAAAGGGTAGAATATCAGTTGTCTATATTTTTTGAAGGTCAATATCTGGGCACTCTTTTCTCTTCCATTGATTTTTCTCTCACACAAATTTCACACTCTGTTGGTTACTTTAGCTTTATAATAAATCTAGAAATTAGGCTGTACTAATTATTTAACACTGTTCTTTTACAAAGTTGGTTCTTCTAGGTCCGTTGAGTTTCTATAGAAATTTTAAAATCGGTTTGTCTATGTCTTCAAAAAAAGTCCTGTTTGGATTTTGATTAGGATTCTGTTGAATCTACAGATCAAATTGAGGATACTTGGCATATTACCAATAGGAAATGTTCTGACCACTGAGGAAGGCACATCTTTCCATTTCTTTATGTGATTTTTCATTTTTAGTGTATGTGTCTTTCGAATCTTTTTCTCTACAGATTTTTCCTATTGTTTTTCATACAAATATATGTAGTATTGTTTTTTAATTGCAATTTCCAATTTTTTGTTGTCAGCATATATAAATATTGAGTTTTGTATATCCATCTTGTATCATACAACCTTGGTAAACTCACTTATTATGTTCAGTAGCATTTTGTAGATTTCACTGAATTTTCTATATATATATGATGATGTCATCTGTGAATAAAGATAGCTTCAGGCCAGGCGTGGTGGCTCATGCCTGTCATTCCAGCACTTTGGGAGGCCAAGGCAGGCGGATCTCAAGGTGAGGAACTCCAGACCAGCCTGACCAACATGGTGAAACCCGGTTTCTACTAAAAATACAAAAATTAGCTGGGCCTGGTGGCACGTGTCTGTAGTCCCAGCTGCTAGGGAGGCTGAGGCAGTAGAATCGCTTGAACTCAGCAAGCGAAGGTTGCAGTGAGCTGAGATGGCGCCACCGCGCTCCAGCCTGGCGATAGAGCGAGACTCCATCAAACACACACACACACACGCGACAGTTTCCCGTCTTCCTTTCCAATCTGAGTATCTTTATACCCTCAAGTCCAGTCGTAATTTTTTATTTTCCTTTGAATAATATCAGTTAAATTTTTATCTCTCTTATAGTGCTTAAAACAATACCTATGAAAAAGCACTTTTATAAAAAATTTTAATTATAGACAAATTCAGCCTGCATTATTCCTTATGCATATCATTTTCTCATCACATAATAATTTTTTCTGTACATTCTTACTCATTTTTGAAAAGAAGGTTTCTTACTTCCCTCATCAGGTGCAGCTGAACAATGTTTTCTACCATTACTAGCAGGTATACCCTAGTTCCTCCTTGTAAATGAGGCATGATTAATGCCTCTCTTGCCTGTGACTCCTCCTCTGCAAAATAGACACAATAGATATTTCTCTTAGGTTTCCCATTAAAGCAAATAAATGGCTTATGTGTAAATCAAGATAATCTATATAACATGATTTTGTATAGTGTCTGGAACAGAAAAAGCATCCAGTAAAATATTGTTATTTTATATAGTATTACTACAATTTGAATAAAAATATGCTACATTCAGTGTCTAAATAAAGGAGAAACAAACATCATGCATGTATATATCACAAATATTTTCATTTATCGATTATAAGAATCTATGTTAAAGTCTCAAGATATTTAGTAGATTTCATAATGTGAAGTTGGTAAGACCAAATTTGATATGGATTTATTTTTAACTTTCTTACTTAGAAAAATTCCATGGACTGTATGTTAAATTCAAGAGCCAATGCTTCAATTCTCTGTAACAATACTCTAACTAGCAAGCTCATATGAGTACTCACTTATCTAAAACGGGTGAAGGTTTGAATAAAACTTCTATTTTCTAAATAATCCCACAGAAAAACACACATTGAAGCTCCTAAAGATCAACTGGACATCTTCAAAAATTTTCATGTGACTGTTCGTTAAAACAGTTTTTGTACCTTACAGCCACTTTATTTTTTTCACTTTTCAAAGTAGAATATTATACAAAAGACACATATCCAGAATACATAACTAAATTTTAAAACTTAACAATAAGAAAACAAAGAACACAAAAAAGTTTATAATATAGAGTGGTTTAACATGTACAGAGATTAATAGCTAAAGAAATAATTATAGACTTGTGTACATATTGGTTAGTATACATGCATATATTTTATAGCTCTGTCTGCTGAGAAACTAGAAAAAAATGACACCCAAGTAGCAACAAGTACCTCCAGTGTCCAGATCTTGGTTTCTAAATACCATTCTCCAAAATAACAAAAGCAAAACAAAACAAAACAAAACAAAAAACAGAGATATCCTTGGAGAAATGAGTAATTCTAGGCCTGGGGCAGTGAAAATACAAGATGAGTCTGGAGTATTATGTAATGACAGAAAATACAGAAGCGCTCAGAAAACAAAAGAATGAAAGCAGATCAGGAGCCAAACTGAAAGAGCACACAATGGCCAAAGTTAAAACAATTTAAGCAACAAAATGAATTAAAATTTAAAAATTATAACACAGTATAAAATAAAATATCCATGAGTCCATACTGATATAGTTGTACATATAAATAAATGAGAAGAAAGGTAAAAATCTTTCTTACAAAGAATTTCAAAAAATGTACATAGATACTCCTCCCTCTAGGAGGTGAAATTTAAATGCCCTCCCCAGAGTGTATTCTAAAAAACAGAATATGGAAAGGGATTGGATTCTAAAAAAATAGAACATGGAAAGGGAAAAATAGTGACCTTTTAGTGGAGAAGCCTGGCCGTCTTCTCCTTAACCAAGTGATCAATGCTAATATCAGCAGTGAGAAGTCACATTGGTATCATGTACTCCTCTGATAGGATGTGATGAGAAAGACACTTCACCTGTGTAATATTCTTCCCTAAATTCCAGAATCCTAGTCTAATGAGGAGAAAACATCTAACAAACCCAAGTCCAGGGACATTTTACAAAATTCTCGAGTATTCCTCAAAACCATAAAGGTCATGGGAAACAAGTAAAGGCTGAGAACCAGTCATAGACTTTAGATTAAAGAGACATGACAACTAAATTCAATGTGGTAGGCTGGGTTGGATCCTGGTACTGAAAAATGACATGGGTGTAAAAATCTATAAATCTGAATATAGTCTGAAGTTTAGTTCATAGTAATATGTCAATGTTAATTTTTTAGTTTAAATGCATGTAAAATGTCAGATATTAATTTTAGGGGAAGCTGAGTGAAATGTGCATGAAAATGCTCTGTACAATGTTTGCAACTGTTGCATAAATCTAAAATTATTATAAAATAGAAGGCTTCCATTTTAAACTATGTATTGCATCCTGAGGAATTATCAACAAATCACTATTAATCATACAAGAGAGAAAGCTGTAGCTTCTTTAAAATGCATACTTGTGACCCCTCTCACCCCGTATATAGTAAATCATATTTTTTTTCAAAGTGAGCCAGTAATCTACATTTCACATGGTCTTTAAATTATACACACCAATATGTGAGAAATACTTTTCTAAAGCCCTGTGCCTTTTATAGGCCCCAAAGACTTTCAAAGAGTTCAAAAACCACAGTAGTAATGGTATTATCCAAAGTTACCAAATTTGAAGAAAATTAAATTTCAGCAAGTACTACATCAGAATGTAAAACTCAGATAGTAGAGCCTGTGGACAAAATAATTCACCTAGATAATATGTGCATAACTGGTGGGCCTACAGGATAATGATGTCATGATAGAAGAGTAAAGACGATACAAAGTTTGGTGAGTACCTGACTGGCAGTAAAAAAACAACTAGGAGTGAAAACAACTTACTTGTGCAAATAGTCCTTCTTAGGTTGAAGAAAACTGACATCACTATAGAGTGCAGAGAAATTACAACTGGCCTGTTCAGTCAACAAGCACCAACTGCCTTAGTATGAAGTGTTACTCCAGAAATGAATAGTGTAGCTGACAAGCAAAACCAACACCAACAAGCTAATAAAGAAATGCTCAAGCAAGTCAAAATGCTCTGAGTAGAGCAGCATGTAATGAATAAGTAAACAAGGGAATGAGAAGAAACAATGAAAATCAATGTGATGAAGTGCATTGGTTTAATGGAGCCTAAGTAGTCCCGGTTTTGACATTTTTGTGTGTCTGACTGCTCTACAAACTTTACTTCACTTTAACTCAGGACACCATTTTTGTGCTCCAGCAGACTCATATTACCTGATACTTTGCTGCCTCTCCTATTTACACGCAGCACCTGCCAGCCTTTTACAGAAACCAATCACGTTCACTTTGATCCAATCAACTTTGTAATTGTTTTGCTTTTATTAGCTCTCGCTAAGTTTACCTTCTGTGTGGAGAACCTGAGAAACCAGATAACTCTGAGCCGAGCCAG